ATTTACATTACTTGAGACTTTATAATCTACTTGATGGCTCGTATTGGTTAAAGTTAGAATGTGTTAATTGGAGATCTTAAATTGATATTTAGTTAAAGAATCATTTATTTACTGTTCATTATTGCGTTATTATTATTGATGTATTCCATACCTATTTAGAATTTTTGTACTTTATTTATTGGCCCATAATAAGTGTCGATGTCGATCCCTCGTCACTACTTCTTCAAGGTTAGACTAGATACTTAGTGGGTACATATTGTTTATATACTCACGCTGCACTTTTCCACTAACCGTGCAAAATCTGAGGCAGGTACATCTGGCAGTCATTCAGGCGCGCACCCCCGTTACCCCGAGGCATAATGGCGAGCTACTCTCTCTACCCGTTCTGCAGTGCCCGTAGTCTTTCTTTTGTATTTTTTTGTCTATCTTATTCCGGACAATAGTATAGGAAGTTTTGTATATTCTACTAGTTGCTCATACACTTGTGACACCGGGGATTGGAAATATTCTAGTAGACACTTTATGGTTTAAGTATTAAATTTACTGTATTTACTATTTCGTTAGTTTATGCTTTACTTTTCTATAAATTCCTACTAATCATTCTCTTAATAAATAAAAGTCAAATACTTTAAAATTATTAAAAAGAACAAATTCATGACTAATTCACCGCTGACTTACCTAGCGGTGACGTTGGGCGCCATCACGGCCTATAGGGAAAATTAGATCGTGACAATTTGTTCTTATATTAGATAGTTAGCTCAGTCTGCTAACTATAACTTTGTACAAATATTCTTGGTGATTAATAGAATAATTAGTTACCAAAAAATTAAATTTATCATGAATCATTTTCTGTTTAATAATGTTGTTATAATGCAAATTCTGTATTGAAAAAATATTTCAGTTAAACCAAGAAAAAGAAAAAGAAATATGAACTGCTAACATGCATTTTTGAAAGGAAATGAAAAGTTATATTAAAGCTCCGTTTGTCCATAGATATTTTTTTTCGATATTGTTTTTTCAAAAATGTGTTTGTCCATGAAATTTTGTAAGTTTTTAAAAAAAAATCGAAAATGAGTTCTTCAAAAACCAAAAAGTTGTCAAAACCACTTTTTCAAATTTTTTATTTCCCCACTCACAAAGCTGCTATATTTTTTCAAGTGAAATGTATGTTCAAACATAGTTTCAAATTTCAAATACCATTTTTCAACTTAACTCCAAATATTACTTTTTTCAAAAATTAATTTTTATGTCCAAACGCCTACTAAGAAAAATGACCAGTTTCTTCATATTTTCAACATATGTTGTATGGTTTAATTTGGGCTAACACCATAAACATTATCTTGAATGTAAACATTTAAAATTTATTTATTTCAAAATATTATTTTATTAATAAGTAACTTCATCAATTTCCTAGTAAAAGAATAAAATTTAGCATATGTATCTTTTATGTTTCTTAAGCAAAACTACTTTTTATATTTTCCAAACAAATATAGTTTAGGAAAAGAGTGATATTAATCACGCATATGCTAAAGCTCAGTGGAATAAAATTCAAAAATAAAAAAAATACGAGATTTTGTGCCATGTACTTGTTTGAAAGTAAAAGATTTATATGTCTAAAAAAACTATTTTTCTTTAGTTTTTCAATTTCTTATTTTGTAAGTACAATTTACTCTTTAGTTAAAACAACCCTTCTTATTAGAAAATGCCAAACTGTTATTTTTTCATAATTAAGATGGTTATTGGTTTTATTATAGAACAAAAGAGAAATAAAAATATACTTACTGTATAAATTAAATTTTTAGTATTAGACTTGGACATGGCTCAACAACACCAATATCATTAGACAAAGAAAATAAAAGGCGAAATACCTAAAGCTCCACTTTAAGTTGTCCCCAACGATCATTTGAACACCTCAACTGAGACCTTTTTCATTTAAATATTTCACGTGACTAAAAAGTGAACTCAATAAATACCCGACCTAGTCAACCCCGTCACGTGTAACACACCTCCGGCGTATATTATAAGAACTAATAAGAAACCGACACGTGGATAACAATAAGAAATAAACAATTAAAAGGTGTCTAATTAAAAACTTAAAACATAAGGGTTAAATTTTTCTCAAACATTCCGTCTAACACCTAAACTCTCTATCTCTCTCTCACTGAATGCCACCCATCTTCATCTCTTCGATTAAGCTTGGTTTAATCGGCATTTTCGTTGCAAAATTCAACATTTCTTTCACATACTAAGTAGGGTTAATTGTGATTTGTCCGAATTTGATTGTTGGCTCACGATTTATCACCTGAAGGTCGTCCTAGGGTTTTGACAGTGTAGTTTTTGTGCAAAGGGGAGTCGGCTGTAAAGTGACTTCGATTATTGCATAAAGGTATGTTATTTTTATGCTTAGATTATGTCTTTTTGTATTTTATTGATATGTGTATGTTATGGTGCTATTAAATTAGGATTTTTTTTCTTCTAAAAAATTAAAAATGTCAGGGAAACTGACTGGTTTTCTTTTGTCTTTTTTAGTACCGAGTCACATGGACGAATATATTGGTGTTGTCTTTCACCATAGGGGTCACCTTATTGACGGAAAGTATGTGGGGGAGGGTGAAAATATAGGGCATGTGGTGGACAAAGAACATTCCTCTTTGACCGAGCTTCTGTCTTACACAACAGAAACCCCTGAAATGCGATACAACTCAGTTGGTGGGTTCCTTGTTCAATGTCCTAAAACTCAGAAATGTTTTCCAATTAAAAATGACTATCAACTATTAAATTTGATTAAAGACCTGAATGATGGGGATAATTTTAATGTCTATGTGAGTCATGTGATATATAATTTAGAGGTTGTGGAGGATGTCCCCGTGGGATATTTACCTTCCTCACAAGGTGGTGATAGTTACCAAGCTATAATTAATTCAGAAATTAGGGGTGGTCAAGGGGTTAGTGTACATGTTGGTGAGGGCATTGGTGTAACTTTTGATGAGGGCATTAATGTAACTTTTGATGAGGGCATTGATGTAAATGTTGATGAGGATATTAATGTAACTATTGATGAGGGTATTGGAGTAAATGTTGATTAGGGTATTGCAGATATATAAGTAAATACTGTTGAGGGTAGTGGTGTAAATGCAGAACAAAATAGGGTTACATTTTCAGATGAGGATATAAATGTTGAAGAGGGTGCAGCTGCAGATCATGACAACAGTAATGAAACAGATACAAATCTGTCTGAAGATAAAATTTTTGGTGAAGATGACCTTGAAGATATTCCAGAAGAAGATGACAGTGAGATATATGATGAGTTAAGATCTGTGAGGAATGCTGCCAGGGAATTAAATAGAAACTGGCTGAAGAAAAATGCAAATGATGTTGGATTACAAAGTAAGAGAAAACAGAGGAGAAAACCTGTTTTTATAGAAAATGTAATTCTTGGTGAGGCTGGGATTGATAAGGGATTTGAAGACATAGGGATAAATAAGAAGGATAAATATGTTGGAAAGCTAGATGGGGATGAAAAGTATTTGGACAGCTCAGATGCTGGGAGTGTAGACAGTGATGAAGAGTTAGACCTACTTGCTGAACCTGGTGCTGATCTTCCTTCTAGAAGAAGTCAAAAGATCAGGTATGCCTTTGATGCTAAAATTCCTCTATTTGAGTTGGGCATGATCTTTGATAATGCAGAAGATTTTAGGAAAGCTATTTCTGACTATGCTATTCAATATAAAGTTTCTTTAAAGCTTAGACCTAATGAGAAAGATAGAGTAAGAATTAAGTGTAAGCATGAAAAGTGTAAGTGGCACATATTTGCTAGTAAGGATAAGGATTCAGGGAACTTTACTGTGAAGACATACATACATGTCCATAAATGCCCAACAAAGAACAAGAACAAACTTTATACAACCAAGTACATTGCAATAAAGCTCCAAGATAGAATCATCTCAACTCCAAACATCATAGTACTTGATTAATGACTTGTCACTTTATACTAGGGACAAACAAACACAAAATCTGGAAAGGTCAAATAGAACAACACAATCAAGCACACAAGTTGATAGTCAAAGTTATACAACCCAAGCTGCAGGTACATCAACTACCACAACCCAAACTTCAGTGGCCCCATCTTTCTTGTGTGCTGAAACATCAAAAGTAAGAAGTAACACACCATCATGAAGAGGTAGAGGAACTGTAGGAAGTGATTATAGGGGTAGAGGTGGATGAACTAGTAGGGGAAGAGGTGGAAGATCACTTGCTGCTTCTGTTGCATCCAGTGCATCTATTTCTGCTACTACAAGATCATTTGATGCTTCTGCTGGAAAGAAAAAGACCAGAAATTCTAGTTTTGGTTTGTACACAGACACACAAACAGGAACTAGTATCATTAATGTAAGTGTGAGAAGTATTATTCTGTATTTTCTATTCTTAGGCTTCTGCATTATTTTTTACTAACTCACTATATTTTCTAGCCTGGTAGGCCAAGTGAACGACTTATTTCAACCGGTGCCAACTTGATGAATGCTGCACAAACTAATGCAGATCTTGAATTTAGACCAAATGGTCTTAAGTGGAAAGGGAATAGAGCTGTTACAGGGAATCAACTTCAAAAGCAAAGGGATGCTGCAGTTTCCAATAAAAAGATGAAAGCTGGAACCTCTACTTCATCTACACCAGTTGACTCATGTCAAAGTCAAATTTAGAAAGAAGTTTGTTGTATTTTGTTGGTCATTTATATGAAATATTTTTTGTAAAGTAATTTGAACCTACTTATGATGGTCGTTTGGTCATATGTATGAACCTTACTTTCGTATGAGATGTAATATGAACCTACTTTTGTTAGCCCAGTTTTTTGGATTAGTCTACCTTTGCTTCAGCAGTATAATTTTTTGCAGAAACTGAAACACATTTGATCATTGAAAACTTCATCATACACATTATAAATTTCAACTACATTGAATAGGCAATATTGGCCATAAATCAAAAACAACATTGCAGTAAAACAAACAGGGTTACATGCCCATATACATATACCATACGCCTAAATAATAGAATATTCCCTCAAAAACCAACCCACAGTTACAATTATAAGCAACCACACCAATGTCCTCCGTTTCTTCATCATCTTCGACTTTTCTTCTTCATGATTTTTTACCCTCTTTAATAATTCATACATGACTTTAGTATAGTGTCCGGATAATTCAACATTGTATCAACGAAAAAAATTGCATCCACCACCGGTAACTTTTTCAAATCTACAGTCATAGAATATTCTACCCAGATTAAATGGTGACCACGAAAGTTTTAAAGGAGCAATTTGGCCACATTTGCAATTAAAAACGGGTTCCATTGAAATAGCAGAAGTAGGGAGGGAGAAGAAAAGAAATTTTCTTCAAAGGGAGGAAGAAGATAGACGCGGCCGGAGAGGAGTTGAAAAGTGAAATAAATTTTTAGGGTTGGGTTTGAGAATTTAAATTAGGGAGTTCATTAAGCTTTTTTTTTTGGAATTTCACAAAAAATCCGTTTATTATCGATAGGATGACTTATACACGCGCGAATCCGGAGGTGTGTTACACGCGACGGGAGATGACTAGGTCGAGTGTTTATTGAGTTCAATTTTTGGTTAGTTGAAATGTTTAAATGAAAAGGGTGTTAGTTATGGGTTCAAATGGTCATTGGGACACTTAAAAGGCGCTTTATCTATTTCGCCAAAATAAAACTTGCGTTATATTTCTTTCTCCATTAAATAGAGCGAAGTCTCAACTTACCGCCGGACCTTCATTACCGCCGATCTCTTCTCGCTGGACTTCCATTACCGCCGGTGATCTCTTTCCTTGTCTCTCTCCCTTTAGATGTAGAGGACTCGAGGAGGACAAAGTTGTAATTCAGGGGCTGGAAGTCCAAGAATGGTGGTGGTGTCAGGAACTAATAATGCCTTCGGCAAAGAAATGGCCATCAGAAAACGCATTGCCAGCATGTAATCTCAAACAAACCCTAACTCCTCACTTAATCATCTGTCTGTTTTATCTCTTTTTTTATGTTGGACTTCTTTTTTCTCTGTGTTGCAACAGTTTATTTTGATAAATATGTTATTGAGAAACTTTGCAAAGCTGGAGGCTTTTCTTTGATTTTGTGGTGAGTAAATAGTTGGTTTCTGGAGAAATATATTTATATTTGTAAATAATGGAAGGGGATGATTTTGAGTGAAAATCAAGTAGGACATGCTTAGGGGATGTATTGGTAAATTGCACCATTAAAAGGTAAATCTTCATTTTAAATATTAGTACTCCCTTGGACTTATTGTTACAAAGCATGACTAGTACAACAACTATCGCCTCAATTGCAAGCAAGTTGGGTTTGCTATATGAATCCTGAGCATACCGCTTCATTTAAGCTCATCTTGCAATAATTAGTATACTATACAATTAAAACTAATAATTAGTATTAGAAGTTCTCTATATTTTTATTGGCATATAGATCTCATATATGACTAAAAGATCTTAGAAAACATAAAACCTAAAGTAAATGTACTAACATGACTAAAACATAGTCTCAACTAATTATTGCTTTCTTCCATTGTGCCCTATTTTCGCTAGGTCTGTGTGCATGCCAAGAGATTGTAAGTATTTCAAGACAACTTCTTTCCATGTTATTCTAGGCCTTCCTCTTGTACTTTTAGCACCTTCACTCGCCATAGTTTCGCACCTACAAACTAGTGCATTTGGAGGTCGACGCAAGACATGTCCAGACCATGTCAAGCGGGCTTCTCACATGTGTGCACTATGATCCATGCATAACTAGTATGTGAACCAAACAATCCCTTGGTGTTATACTATCATGAAATTCTCTTCTTGGTGCATTCTTTCCTTCCTTTTTCTTTTCTAGATACCTCTTTTAATTCTAACATGTAGTTTTGCAGCTTTAATAAAAGAGAAGAGGATTTCCCGTCATTGCGCGAGTACAATGATTATTTAGAGGAAGTGGAGGATATGAGTAAGTTTCATTTACTGATTTGCTGAAGTTGAAAATCCTAACATTTTGCTTAATGGAATGCTGTCATTTGCAGTATTCAATTTAATTGAAGGAATAGATGTTCCCGCTATTGAGGCAAAGATTGCACAGTACCAGAGAGAAAATGCAGAGCAAATCATGATTGCTCAAGCACGTAAGGTTCGTCCTTATGATACTCTGTTGTCATAGATAGGATATAGTTTTTAGTAACTGCTGCATGCGAAGCACTAGTATTTTGTGAACTGCTCTCTCTCTAATCATATAGTGCTCTGTGGTGAACTAGGCTGAAGAATATGCAGCAGCCTTGGCAGCCAGCAAGGGACAGCCTACACAGCCTGATGGTGATGCAGTGAGTTGATCTAATATTCACACTCTTAAGATTTATGTTTATTTTCTGATTCTGGTAAACCGTGGTCAAATATTTTGGAAACTTCTTAATGTTCAGCAAGAGGCATAAACATCTCAAGCTTCCGGCTTCCGCATTTTCCAATTTTAACTTTCATGTTGACGAATAAGCTTACTGTTGCTCCCTTGCGGAGTCAGTGATAGTGTAGGACAGCTTTCTCTAACTTCTCTTCCTTCCCAATTTCACTCTTTTTACGGAAAATAAGAATTAATTGGAATATGGATCCTATCTACCATTTAACAAAAGTATTTGGAATAACCTACGTACTCATCTTTCTTTCCCATTTTCTGTAACTGGACCAGGGGTAAAGATGCATGACGCCATGACCTTATACAGTACAGAGATAATTATCAGCCTTAATATAAACTGAAAAGATATGAGTTAAAATCCAGACAATACAAAGTTATACAGTGTAGTTGATAGAATTAATTGAATCCCCTATCCCTTCTAATCAATAGAGAAGCATATATATCTGACTCAAATCACAACTAACTATCTTCCCTTGAGTTTCTTTTGCTATATGCGCCTTTCTTCCTGTGACCTTGGTTAATGCCTGGTGCATGTGTCTGTGTCATATGCTTGTGTATAAACTATAGCCAGGCTATGTGTGTCACAAGAATGCAAATGGCAGACATCTAGGCCACGGTGCATAAGCGAAACGCCATGAACCCAATGACTGAGCTTCCAACCTTCCCATGCATAAGACAGGCTTCATTTTCTTTCTTTCTTCTTTTTGTTATTTATACAATTGAATATCTCATTAATGTCACACCAAATTGGTGTTGCATTGCAATTTATGAATTTATAGCAAAGCTATACTAATTCAACCAACTATTTGTAGTTTTATGCAATACGAGAAATCCTTTATATACCTTAAGTATAGAGATCTTGACTCTCCAATAGGGGTTTTCAACACCTTCAAGTTTGTTTAGTCTTTACTCCCCATCAGACAAACAATTGTGAAGAGGAGCAGTGTTCCACAAGTCTTACTTTCCGAACAACAATCTTCCTAGTTCCCATATTGCGTTCTGCCAATATTCCAGCTAGTCCAATATGTTAAACATGAAATAACTAAGCCCGCTAGCTCTGTTATAAAATTGCAATGTAGTAGTAGGTGATATACTTCCTCTCCCTTCATTTTGCATAAACAATGCTGAGTGCACTGTGTTTTCATCTCGTCAAATAATCCTGCCAAGTGATCCACCATATTTAGAAACCTACTTTCTTAGGTGGCTTAGTCTTCCATACCGACATCTACATGAACCTCACTTTCCACTAATTAGAAGATGCTTTCACCAAAATGAATTTTGAGGTTGCACCATTCCATATAACTCAGCCAAGTGAAACGTTTCACTTTGTAATGGTTTTCCATGGCCACAGAGGTGGGAGCTGGGTTTGACAGCAGTGAGTAGCAACTCTTGACCTTCTTTCCTCCCGAACATGTCAGCTATCATAGCTTCCTTCATCATGATAAAAAAATAAGGCGGAGAACTCTGATTTTTGTGCTAAATCATCAAATCATGCATCCAATCAAAAGCAAATGTGGTTACCGTTACCTACCATGAAATAAATGAACCTAGATATTTCTTTCATGTCCCTCATAATTCCCCTCTACATGCTTGTCCCATATCAGATAGCAACCTCCTCAAGGTATAGCTGCCATTCATACTTCGCCAGGATCACCTTCCTCAGTAGGGCCTGGTCTTTGCATGCAAATCTCCATAAGTTTGATCTGGTAATGCCCAATCCTCGTGCCTCAATTAGGAAGTAGCCTATCCCGCCCTAATGGATGGTTTTGTCCTTTCTCCATCTCTCCATTAGTTTGCCTTTCTCATTCTCACTAGCAAGGGAGTATTGAATAATGACATGAAATGCGTAGGAATACTTGAGAGCTACCGACTTCGTCAATGTTTTTTTACCTTCGATAAATATTGTTTTTTGGAGGGGCGTGTCCACTATCCCGAGTTTCAAAGGCTGCGGTTGGTCCTAAGGTTTGTCCCCATAAGGATTTCTTGGTCATCAATAATTATGTTTTGGTTTTTTGGCCTTCGAATCTCCTTTCAATTTTCTGTTTGATGGGTTTTCAAGGTTTAACATCTTGAACTTACCTCCTAGAGGCAAGCCCAAGTATGTTGTGGGGAGATTGGTCAAACTGTTGACACTAGCTTACGAAGTTTAGGTACTTCCCTTACTGGAATTTTTTCCGTATCCTCATTGATGTGGAGACTGGATATAACCTCAAGCCGCACTAGCATCCTTAGGTCATTGTTGTGCTATCTGTGGGTCACAAAAAAACAATGTATCTTCTGCAAGTCAGACGCATGAAATGGAGATGTTTTAATTCCTCCTGCTCACCTAAAATCCACTTAACTGCTGCACAGGCTTATGAAAGGCATATGATAGGGTGCATTCTGTTAGCACGGAGACATGAAGAGAAAAGTTGGCTGTTTTTGTTCAATATTATAAGCCTTACATGGAGGATATTGTTCAACTATCTCATGGTTACAACCCATTAAGTGGTGGTTATTGTATTCTCAGATAGTTACCACCCATGCTGCATTCGGTTGCAGCCCGTGATGGTCATGTCTTCCACTACTTCACCTTTTCTGATGGTTACAATCCATGATGCATTTCTGGCCGTTTCTTCCACAACTTCCCCCATTTTAACAATCTCCCTTTTGTTTTAAAGTGCAAATTTTGTTTTCGATTGGCTATAAGTAGTCCGTTTGGTCTTGTCTTTTGTTTTTCCTTGTGATTAGCTAATCTCTTTGTAATTGGAGTTATTCCTCTCCGTACTAACTAGCTCATTAGGGTACTCTATTTAAGATTCTCGTTCTCTCTCTCTCTCATTAATAAATTTTTTTGTTATGCTTCATGATTCCCTTCCCCTTTCCATTCAAATTTTACAGTTCAGCTTTCTAACAAATAAGAAGAGCAACAGTGAGTCTCTTGTTGGATGCCTCTACAGCTCCCAAAAACATCCTTAAGAGCTTCATTAATCATCACAGAGGGCTCATCGTGAATTTAATTATCTAATCTGCGGTATATTTCAGTTTTCTGCATCGCAACCTCGAATCTACAGTTTCATTTGATAACCGGCGTCTAAACTCTCTCCCTCCTTCAATTGATTTAAGGTGTTTTATTAGCACTTTCAACTCAATTGACAGTACCTTTCCATGATTTTTTACACTCTTACCAGCTTATAGGCCAGAAATCCTTTTTTTCTACTGCACCTACCCTCTTCATTTTTATACTATGAGGGATGAACTTATCCCAAAAAAGCGACGAACTAAAGATTCCTTGAAACCGATCACATCCTGTAGAATTGGTCCATGCATTCCATCACATCATTTTTCCCCACATCCTAGCTATGCTGAAGGCAAGTTACCTTATTTTAAAAAAAGACCAGAAAAAATAAAAATAAGACTGCTGAGGGCGAGGATGAAACCATTTGACCAGGTGCCTTGTCATCTGAACAGTTCTACTCGACCTCTTTTTAAGGTTTTTAAGCTCCTTTCTATCAAGGCTGATTCTTAATATTGTCTATGCCTCCCCCCCCCCCCCCCCCCCCCCCCAACCAAACACATCGTATAGTGTCTAGATACCCTAGAATACTTTTTCCTGACAAGTTGGTACAGAGAATCTTCCCTGGTCTTTATTACCCTTCGAGAAAGCCTGACAATGATTTGTAAGAAAATTACATCTTTGGTGACATTTTCCCATGCAGTGGGAAAACTTGGTATTGTTATCTCCTCCTTTTTCGGATTTCTCTTTCAGCTTATTTCCTGTATTAGGTACACTCAACCAAGGTAGGGGTAAGGTCTGCGTACACATCACCCTCCCCAGAACCCACTTGTGGGAGTACACTGGATTTTGTTGTTGTTGTACACTCAACCTAGGCTACTTTGATCTCTTCCCACTGGGGGTCTCGTGCTCATCGGTCAAGCCACCACTGTGCTCTTTCCTTTCCGAGGTTTTCAATTCCTGAATGCTTGCAATGTTTTTCGCTGTCCTGCAACACATAATCCAGGCTTCTTATGCTGAATGCTATCCTCTTTCAAAAAAATCCTATATTCTTGCAATGTTTGTCTGTCCTGGAATACACAAGCTAGGCTTCTTATGCTTCATTTTCTTTAATAGTACCTCCAACTAAAATTTGCTGTTAAATGTCATTTGGACAAAATTAAGAAGATAATTAAGCTTGAAAGAAGTAATTAATTGTTACTATGCAAATTTGCAACTACTAGTTCGGCAGTTATCCTTTTGAGACTTGAGAAAGTTTATGATGAGAAAGAGATTTAAAGTGGTAGTACTTACAGAAATCTTACCAATTAAATCAAGAACATCTTGCATATAGTTAAACAGGAATTTCTATGGTATTGATTTGCATGGTTTGAACAAATTTTGAGTACAGTATGGTCTTCTCTTGCTAATATGGATGATGCCATGTATGGCATAAAAATAGTATATCGTTGGACTTCAGGCCCTTATTAATTCCTGTAATATTTCTCACTTCTAAATTCTTTCTACCTGACTGGTTTAAATTAAGTCAGATAAATACGGTAAATTCAGGGTCCTTCATCTTCCTTGAGATACTATTGAGGGGATAAGCTAAAGAAAGTTTAGAAATTACTTTGCATGTAGTGTTTAAAGAAGTTGTTAGAGATTGTTGGTTTGTTCACTCGTTTATTTTAACTGTGCTATTAGCAATGACTGGAAGTCTGAAACTAATATGCTTATTCGCGCTTGAAAGTTTCCACTTTCACGTTACTTTGAGAGTGGCTTGGACAAGCAATTTAATGCACCTCGGCAATTTAATGTCTCTCATAAAACCAAAATAGAAAGGTATTTCTTTTCCACCACCTTTTTTTCACCAGTCCGCATAAAATACTATTTCATGAGCTCTTGCAAATCTTTTTTCAAATATGAAAAATGGGTCTTAAATGAGATACCTATCAAACTTGTCGCATCCTGTTAAAGTCGTCCATCTCTTCTTTTTATGTGCACAATCTACACTGAGCTACTTACCATACTTGTAGCATTCTGCTAAAGATGTTCTCTGCTTTTTTATGTGCACAATATATAAATTATTGATGGTCATATTTAGAGTTAATTTAGTCAAGGCAGAGCAGTTACTAGCTTGATATCCTCTTCTTCAATGATTTCTCCACTACCAACTACATGCCATCTTGACCTGAAGAGTCTATTATAGTGACTGACAAAGGATTATCTTTTTTTTGCTTTTTCAAAAGTGGAGCAAGTGAGGTTACTAATAGTAGAATGGGACAAAAGGATAGTGATGGTTCCTACACAAAAATGTATGTGATCAAAGGAAAAGTGAGCGAGTGAGGTTACTAATAGTCGCTGACTCTACGTTTTCTGTCATATTGACCTATCACTTCTCAAAAAGTGATCATATAGATCATCTCAATTTATTTTTAACTGAGTTTTTCTTCATTTCTACAGGCTTTGGGCCAAGGCCCTCAGGCAGGGTCTAGTACTGGTCCACAAGGGCACTATGCCCCTGCAGTTGCCGGAGGTATAGCTCAGCCACGGCCAACACAGCCTCTTCCAGTTGGATCAATTCCAGGGTTAGAGTATGAAGATGAAGAAACGATGAAACTAAGAGCTGAGAAGGCTGCTAGGGCTGGAGGGTGGAGTCTAGAGATAAGCAGGAAAAGGGCACTTGAAGAAGCCTTTGGAAGCCTATGGGTCTGAATATAGCTATATGTCTCCAAGACAGTCTTCAGCTGAGGGTGATTCTTGCAAAAATTCTGTGAAATAGCTATTCGTTCCGGATTACTCAGAGCAGAGCATACCATTTAACGGAGCAGCATTCCAGCATTCGGCATGGCATTTTTTGTTCTTAGATGGTATCTTGTAAAACTTTCCAAATTCTGGCTTGTCATTAAATATCTTTGGTCTTTGTTAGACCTCAGTTTGCGTCTCCACATGGTCTTTGACTCTCCGCATGGACTGTGGACATCATGCTATTTATTCTGGGGAATTTTGGTTCTTATCTAACTAATTTTCTTTTTTGAGCTCTATATTTCCTTTTATGCACAATTTAGGTTCCACATTACTTTGTTCTGGATTAAACTGGGCTAGCAAGCTTACCAGTATTTGGCACTTCCACTCTGTATTTCACTGCTACTGTAACATTTGCAATGTTCATTTGGGACAATCTCACATGCAAAGCGGAATTTCGTTTCATGGAAAGTTCAACATTTTTTCTTTTCCTTAATTTCTTTTTATTTTACTTTTTGGGCGTGGGTGGGGGAAGGGGTGAAGGGAAGTGGGAAGCAAAAGATTGTCCATCTTTCATAGAATCAATTGACAACTGCACTTAGTTGATATTTGCAAGAATCAATGACAACTTCACTGAATTGATATTTGCAAGAGCAAAAAGTTCTACAGCAACTAGCTACTACTACTGATTTATACATTGCATCATTAACCTGATATTTAGAACTTGCAGAAACTAATTTTACATCTATCGTCCCTCAAGTTTGGCCTTATTTCCCTATATTATTAAGAGAGTAACACTCTCCCTTTATCACTTGATTACTTTTAGCGAGTTTCATTTATTGTGTAGTATGGTTTGATAGATTTCGCATGAGACGAGACTGTTTATTTTGTTTGATTACAGATGGAGAATAGCGTGCAGTATTAACAAGAACACAAAGTAACGATCAAGCGAAAAAGGTTTAGAAGCAAAAGTCTTTTTTGGGATTGGAAGGAAATAGTAGGAAGTTGTTTAGCTTTGTTGCCACTTGCCAACCCACATATATAGGGAAAATATAAGTAGTACTAGTATTCAGTGATCTCTTATCGACCAGAATCATGAGAATGGAGGTTTAAAGAATTCCAACCATTAACAAATATAATAGAACCATGTATTTGAGACAAACACTTCTCTGAATAAGATATTCCCTAATCAACCGCAAAGATGAGAGGCTTTTTACAGTTACAACAACAATTAATGACCAATGCTTATTGATATCCCTTTCGGAGAAAAAAGGGGGGAATACCTAATCAACAGCACAAGGAGAATAAATTAATGCCCCAAGTTCGAAACGACAGTACTGCCTCTCTTATACTCAGAATTGGACTTCTCCAAATCAAACTAGAATCTTAAAGTTACAATAGCACACAGTTGTAAATGGTATTGCATTGTGTTCATTGATGGAAAACTGCAATGACAAAAATCTTCCTGCCCAGAAAGCTGTGAGCGTCGCATCACACTTCAATTGACTCCTGCTCTACGTCATAATCCCCAGAAAACAAGGTGGCTGTTTCAGACTATATCAACAATAATACCAATCAAACTATGCTTGGTGCATCACCTTCCCAAGTACATGTGGCTCGGGACCAGCGTGTCCGGATGCAGTCAACCAAAGGAGCATGCTGAGAAGGTTCCGGTTTTGAAACTTCAGTAACAGAATCCTTACCTGCAGTAGGATCACTTGTACCGGGGCCTGAAGACATGAACTCCTCCGGCGTCCATCTTGGGGGAACTGAAACCCTCAACTTAGTGAGTCTAGGCCTTTGTACCGGAAAATCATTTAAAGATGAAACCTGGTTTCCATTCATAACCGATTTTGCAATCCCATTGAAGTGGTAAAGATCAAAGACCTTTTTCCCCATTAATCCACTAGGATCTTTTAGTCCTCCCAAACACTTGTCCAAGTCTAATAGAACCTGCCAGAATTCGCTCCATACAATATATCCACTGCTGCAGAGGTTTTGAAGCTTATCGGTGGGAAGACTGACATTAGTCTCCCTAAGGACTTGATGAAAACCTTCCACGCTAATGAATCCACCACCTCCACTTTGATCTTGTGCATCAAAAGCTCTACGGATCTTTGTTTCCCTGCTTTCAAGTTCATTCTCCTCCTGAACTTTCGTATCAAGAGCAAATAAGACAGTGTAATGAGATTCACTGCCAACAACCCATATTGGCCATTTCGGGCATTTCAAATGCAGGCCAACCTTGCAAAAGTTTAGGGACTCTAGCAGAGTAAGAAACCCAACTTCCACCATTGTGGAGATACCCTTCACAAACATGCCACCACCCAAATCCATCCTCCCATCAAACACATTGGCAACTGCTTCCCCAGAAAGCAAGAGGTTCACAATTTCCTGTTCCAGGAAAGATAAAATATAACATAGTCTAACCAGTACTTAAGTCCATAATTGACACAAAAGAGAAGAGCATACAATATATTCACCAAAACTTAGCCTTTTATTAATCTCTGGATACCTGTGAAGCATGTCCAAAAGGTGCTGTAACCAAAGGTTGAGAAGGATCATCCCTATCAGCTTGAACAGAGTCCTGTACAGAGAGAGAGAGAGACATATCCGTTAAAAGGACTAATACACTACAAGATATATGCTATTGTCAATGATCATTTCTCTTAATCATTTTGGAGAAGATTAAAATTGTTTCCATGAATCCATTGTTCACTTTTAGTTTTGTAAATGTCCTACTCTCATCTTGTTCAGCAATGCTTACACACAGAACTAGGACCGGTCCTAACGAAACAGCCTACTCTTCTTCTATGTTGTAGCAAAAATGGGGAGCTGAAAACCCTACCCTCACGCACACACATACACACAAGTGAATAAATAAAAAAGAAGTTACCATTCCACGAGAAAGCAGAGCTGATATTAGGAACAGCATTGCTCCCATACGACTTCGGAATACTGGGAGCAGTGCTTCAAGTCTTTGAAGGGCATCTACTGATGATGTATATGTGTTAATGATTAAAACCTTTTGCAAGTTAGCCCCGGATTCAAGTGAGAGACCTTCAAGTGCTTTAGAAATGACCTGTATAACAAAACACAGTAACCTATTAAAATCAAACATTAGTCATTCACCAATACAGAGAGATTTATTAAATGCAAGCACCTTCACATGCACATATTCTTGATTAAGCATTACATCCATAAGGTACAAGTGAAAATCTCTTATCCAAAAAAAAAGGAAAAAGAAAACAAAAAAGGACATGTAAAACAGATTCGGAATGCATTCCCCGTGCCAAAAAGAAAGACAACATTTTGAGAACAAGGGTCAAAAAAACTTATTTTTCAGTGAGGAATTCAACATTGATTCCTCTACTTTTTTATATAATAGTTACATATTTAGAAATAAGATAAAAATTGTATTATATATCACTATTTTCTTTTAGTTAGATATATTTTAGAAGTATGAAATATGCGTACTCAAATAAAAATTGCTTGTTTCCCCAAACAATGAAATTGGACAGGAGGAAGACAAAAAGGAGCAACATGGAAAACAAATTCATTTTTTTTTAACAAGTACATGGAAAACTAATTCCTAGCAGACATCTAGTGGCTTACCTCATCACTCGAATGCCCCTCAGACGCATCAAGGTTACCATCAAGTATTCTCAAAGATGCTATCACAACCCTTCTATTGCTTCCGCACATAAACAATATCTCACCCATGCCTCTGACCAATGCTCTGTCCCCGATCAATAAAAAGGAAAAGAAAAGAATTTCTCAGGATTTGTCTAAAAATATCAAAATTTTCCCAGGAGCATTTACAAAAAAGTACTCCAGTTACATAACGAAGAGATAATTCAATCGGACAACTAACAATCAGGAGACAATGAAAAGGGCCACCAACTGCAGTCAGCAATTGTCACGTTGGGGTAGGGGATTACTTTTTTTTTTTCACTCATGAAAGGAAGTATTCACATATAAATACAAGTGTGATGTGAAGTTTTGTAGTTGAAACAGAGTCAATATTACAGTGTGTAGAGTCCTTTAAAAAGACATATTAAACTCCCTGGTATCTTTTTGTAAATTTGACTAGCAGCACATATTTTTGTGCTGATGAATATATTGTTACCATTCTAAAAAAAATAAAAAAATGTGTGATGTGCAATAAATATATCTCAGGAATATATGAGCCTTGTAGCAGTAAAATATATAAAAAGGTCTCAATGAGACATAAATTCAGTAATCCGCTTTAAAACCCAATAAAATATGCCCACATAGCAACAAGATTCACAATATCAACCTTGATTTTTTCTCTTCACTTAGAGATGAAAAAATATCAGCTCCAGCAGATTCTTTGTCAGCCAATCTTCTCAAACCAACATTGGCGGACAAGCTAGGTGAAACAATATTTAATTCCTCCGAGAAAAACAATAGGTATCTCAGAACAAAAGCCTGCAGAATCATGGAACCTTTGTCAAAAAGAGATGGAACACTACGTGCACTTAAATTGAGTCCAAAAGATGCTAAAGTCGAACAGGGAGTACGATGAATGTAGAATCAAGTAAAATGAAAGTATGGTGTGCAATTACATAGAGTGCACAAAATAAAGTACTAAAGAGTAAGAAGCCAAATACTTCGCCATCCAGCAGAACAAAATGGTACCTGGTTATTTATTGGAAGTGACAGAGGATGCCCATGAATGTACAAGAAATTTATGCATACTTGCACTGCAACTTTTCCTAATTAATACTGACATTTGTATCCAATACATATGGCTGTAAAACCATCTCAATTTCTAACTTCTAGCAAATACTTTAAATTTACTGTACAACAGGGACACGTTTCATTCTTGACCACTAGAAGTAGCTGTGAGATTAACATAAAAGAATTCAAAGCAAGTCCAAAACTATCTATCTGCTGCAGAAAATAGCTATAAGATTAAGTGATTAACATAAAAAAATTCAAAAAAGTTGAAACCTATCTGTCCACTGCAAAAAAATAAACCAGAGTAAATGACAATCAGTTCATCTTTATCTAAGAAACTTTGATTTATTCCTAAGGGTAAAGACATAAGTTCCATCCTAAAGTTGTCCCAATAACTCAATTACACACTTGAACTTTGCGGGCGTTCTTTTACCCTTACTCTTGTTCAAAGTGTAACTATTACCTCCCTAAAAATACAACAACAACAAAAAACCTAGTGTAATCTCACAAGAGAGGTTTAAAGAGGGTAATGTGTACACAGATCTTACCCCTACCTTGAGAAAGTAGAGAGGTTGTTTCCGCCTTTCGGTAGACCCTCAGCTCAAAGGAAAGATGAAAAAGAAGAAGCAGTAGCAACAAGCAGTACCTCCCTAAAAATAAAGAACCACTTTTGTGGTGGGCAGTGTTTCACAAGCTCCTACCACATCAAAGCCATGTAGATGCCATCTAATTTTCTCTCTCTCCTTTTTCCCTTTTGCATTTTTTTCACTTCATCTTCCATCACCTTCCTCCCTCTTCCATAACACCTACCAACATCCCTATTCCGCTATGAAACACCAAACCATATTCTAATATCTACCTCAGAAAACTCTATTTCCCTCACTTCCCTTCTCTCTGAAAATTGATAGGATTTTTTACATAGACATATTAAAATTACTTAACTTGAATGTCACCATTAGTGACCCAGCTTCCCCCTTCATTCCACACAATGTGAGAATCCTTGTGCTTCTTCCTGTTCTTATCTCCAACGTCTCACCCTCTTCCATTTCTCTAAATTAATTTGAACACCATGAAACACACATATACACCACCAGAGGGACCTTCACCACACAAAATAAACACATCTCCTCTCTAAAGTGATATTCATCCATGGTCAAATATCAAATTAACATCCAATTGATTTCCTTTCAACATCTTGAATTTTAATATTTTCATAAATGGATTTAAGTGAGAACATTTCACCAAAAAAGCATTTGCTGGCAGTCTTTTAGCGGAAACTTTTTCCAGTCAAATCCTATTACTTTACTTATTTTTCTTTTATTTCTCATTCCCTCTCTTCCTCTTCTTTCTGTCAAAACCTTCTAACTTAGCATCAACGATGCTGCTGGATATAGTTGTTGCATTGGCAACAGAATTTTGTAGCTTTCACTATTTTAATGGCATACCAGCTCTTTACTGCTAACTCCAACTTCTCATCTGTGAAATACTTCTAAAAAGGGGGTCTCAAACAGATCCTAAAAAAAAAAAGATCTGTCCGAAGAAAAAGAACAGAGGTCGATTTTTGTTGCTGCCTTGTTCGTTCATAGAGTTGGATCTTTTTGTATGTAATTGTAGGGAAGAAGAAAAGGAAGAAGAGAAAGAGAAACAGAAGAAAAACAAAAGAATAAAAAATAAAAAGAAAAGATTAACAAAAACTTAATTTTTTTATCCTATTAAAAATGACATTTGTGCAATTTAATTCATTTTTAACTTGTGTTTTACCACTAACACTCTTTCAGCCTCTGAGGGGGATAATTAATACACCTTGGTCAAGAATAAGAGGGTAAAAAGAAACCCGCAAAGTTTAAGTATGCAACTGAGTTTTTGGGACAAGTTTAGGGTAGAACTTATGTATTTTTCCTATTCAAGAAGAAACAAGAGAGAACCAAAGTATTACCTGTATTGCTGCTAGCACACCACATGGCCCACCTTCATGCTGCACTAAACCCATTGATGTATCTGGATCAGGACTAAATCTATAAAATATATTTTCAAGTATCAGAAGTCCGTGTATCAATGTTCAACCTAAATAAGCAAAGATTAGATTAAGAGAACCTACAATACCAGTAACAACATTATGTAAACTTCTAAGTCGTACTAGAATTTCCCCCGAGTACGTATACAAGGTTCAGAAAGAGGCAATGACACCATCCTCTACAAACACTCGACACAAAGGACAAACTACGACAGACTTTGCATTAGGTAACACATCATAAACGCCTCTAAGATAAGTAAAATCTATCATCACTTAGCTAGTTATATTGGATGGTGGTCATAGACACCAAAAGGACACTACTTTAAGGTGCAGGGGGTTTGGATAAGCATCGGTGATGATGGACTACTTGAAGGACGAATAACATTGAATACCCAATATCAAAAGAGGTGTGCCGTGTGCATGGTCTGTTGGTTCCTGCCTAAACCTGAAACCAGAACCAACCTTGAGTATTTGGCTATGGTTTGGTCTGATGTGGTTGAACACTTCAAAATGGTCTTTTTTAAGAGAACAAAAACGTTTTGTATCTCATTTCAATTAGGAAAGTATAAATTTAGAAAGGCAAAATTAGCAATTTAACAAATCTTGTGTTTTCAAAACCAGAAAAAACTTATTTTACTTTTATATTGAGAAGTACATATCTGGTACTAGGATATGGAATCCTAAAATGGTGTCTTAAATTCACAGCTGAAGCCCATGGCACGAATTGTTCCCTTGGTCCTCACATATTTGTCCTTTGGCTACGCCATCATCGAGCACAAAAGTACGCATGCTATATAAACTTGTGCTTTATCTCATATAGCATTTTACTTTTCTTTCTTTTTCCGATGCGGGATTCTCAGGTGTCATACTTGCCAGCCAGTTCTTCTATTTGACCAACCCTTATCAGTCCCAGTGTTATAAATAGCGCTCGCCTCAGCGCTAATAGCGTGAGGCGAGGCGAGCAACCTGCGCTATTTTGGCTCTGTTGCTTTGCGATTGTAAAAGGCGAGCGCCTCTGCCTGTGTAGCGAGAGGCGAGCTGTGGCGTCGCTTTTTGAAAAAAAAGAAAGAAAAAGGCACAGATATTTTAAAAAAAGACCAGCGACTTAAAACATTAGGGCTTGCAGTGATTTCACGTTTCTTTCTTCTTCAACCTNTTTCACATAAAAAAGGCGAGCGCTTCGCTGCGCGCCTCTCGCCTCAGTGAAGTGGGCCCTCGTCGCTATTTGTCGCCATACGCTATCCAAAACACTGATCAGTCCGCTCTCTGTCATGGGCGTAAATACAACACCCTTAAGGACTCAACTTAACGTTGATGTTTACCCCATCATCGTACTATGGGAGTATGATTCTGATATCATACTTGTCGGCTCAAACTCATGGCACGTATTGTTTGCTTTGCCCAACAGACCTCAGTATTTATCCTTTGGGCTACGCTGTCGTCGAGTCCAAAAGCATGTGAACCCTGGGGCTATTTACAACTAGCCAATTAAGAAGTCTTAGATGTATGTGAACTTGTGCTCTATCTTATATAGATCCTTCTTTCTCCCTTTCAGATGTGCAACCCTTCTTCGGAAACTTGTCCGCCTAGAAGCCTAACAGTCCTTCTCTTTAGTCCACCCTCATCAGCCTGCCTTCCACCATTGGTAGCAAATAGTGATATCAAGGCCTTCTCTTTAGTCCACCCTCATCAGTCTGCCTTCCACCATTGGTGTCACATAGTGATATCAAGGCCTTCTCTTTAGTCCACCCTCATCAGTCTGCCTTCCACCATTGGTGTCACATAGTGATATCAAGGCCAGTACCTCAAAAAAGTTGGGAACCATATAAGGGCGAGTTCGGGATTCAAATGTTGAGGCTTCCTCTAGGTTAAATCCCAAGGGGACAAAACCGTGGGTCTTGAGGGTCCAGAGCAATCATGCCAAAGCAAACAATACCTTGACACCTCGGCCTAGGCCGTTACAGGTGGCATCAGAGCCAGTACACCCCCTCGTATAATGCTGGGAAAAGTTTTCATCGAGGACGCTAAGTCCCAAAGGGAGATGACTGTAACTTCCCGCAGACTATTGGCGGTGAACTCGAAAAGGAAGCTCCACGTGAAACTTGCCTTAGGCAAATTCCAACATCGGAGTGGGAGGGGGAAATTACGGGCAATATAAGGCGAGTTTAGGATTCAAAATGTTGAGGCATCTTTTTGGTTAGAGCCCGGGGGGCAAAACCGTGAGACCGAAAAGGCTTGAGGTGGCTTGAATGGAGGCGAGCCAAAGCGGATAATACCTTGACACTTACGTTAAATCTCTGCCAAACATAACATCAACCATATCACTCATCATATCACTCATCTTACTAGAACTGCTTATTTCTACCAATTCGATTTTTTGTGATCTTTTTTATTTTCAATGGTATTCTTTAGTTTTTGTTTTATACAAGCACACCTACCCACCTTTTTTTAAAATTTTGAAAAGAAAATAAGAACATAAAATAGCCCTTAACAGCTATTTGTTAGACGATTATCTACACAGGAAACCAAGAATATTAATAAGAACACTAAATATACTGGAAAGAACGAGTCATCAAGGAGAAGAAGTAAAAATCCAATTGCCAATAGCAAGTAATTGAATGAAATTGCTAGATGAACAAATTACCTTGTGAGATTATATCAGATCATAAAAGAAGAAAAAGCAAAAGTAAACTTAATTCAACATCTCAATTATCACAAACACATAATCCCAACTCCAATTCTCACAAACAGAAAGGCATTAATATAACCATACCTTATGCCCTGATTAGTCCACTGACCAAGAATATCTCTGGTAACTTCACAACCAAAGATCATTGAAAATAACTCATTAGCCTCTGCAACTGAAAGCTCTTCCCCCAAGTTCACATTTTTCTCCTCAGCCTTCACCAAATTCACATTTTTATCCTCACCCTTCACCAAATCCACACTTTTATCCTTACATTCCACCACCCCACTACCAGACCCAACACTCTTTTCCGCCAGCGGCTCCGCCACATTCTTGGCCGCCACTATCATCCGCTTTTCAGCAGCAGCAGCCATCAATTCCCTCTGCAGTCGCCGGTTTTTCAACTCCGGCGACTCCCCTTCTTCCCCAACGGCACCGGCGACCTCCTCTCCCGGTTTGCTCCTCTTTGGCTCCGGTGACTCCTTCTGCATACTCATCCTTAACGCCATTTTTAACTCTTCATCTTCTTGATCCGCCATTTATCTTAATTTTTCACACACCCAGATCCAGGAATTTCAAGAATTCCCTAAAATCAAAATCAAAATCGAATCTTTGAGCACTAAGATATCCAATTTAGACAGCAAACTTCAAACTTAGGGTTTTCAGAACCAAATGATGCACTATTCAGTTACAGATACACGGCACACACTATAGTAGAATTTGAAAAGATCAATGTTAATTGTTCACATAAATATGTACATGTATATATGCATAGAATGGATTTAATCGTTGAAATATAGAATGAGGAAATAGAAAGTTAATAAAAGCTGGTATTTTTAATTACTGGATATAATTTAAATCTAATTTAACATTACACACCATATAAAGAGGGTATACAGATCAGGTTTCCTAATAGGACAAGAAAAGGGAGAGTTATACGACGACGTCCAATTAGTATTGTTTTCAAAGTCTAATACTTTGAGAGTTGAGAGTTTGCAAGATTAAGAACAAGTGATGAATTCGTTGTAAAAGATATCTGTAAACTCCTACTTTCTTGCATGTGAATTTTCTCAGATCATCCAAATTATTAAAAGTATTAAATTCCAATAATAATAAACTATAGACATGTCTAAATTAAATTTGTTTATTTGCATATATATTTTGAGGACATTTAATGACTTATAAAATAAGGAGTAAAATATACAAAACTGCACATTGTTATATATATTTCTAAGACATCGGAAGCAATACTTTTTGATAAACTTTTTTTTCTTTTGTATGTTTTCTCGGACATACCACAATCAGTTATGCTTTTGTATAATTGCCTTCTTGGGATTAATTTTTTTAAAAAAAATATTAAAACATCGTCTTCTCGATTTCAATGCATATATCAAGCACATATGCTTCAGAATCACAAAATATTCCTATAAGTAACATGTATTTATATTAGCTACACTATTTCGAGTTAAGAAAAATATTAATAGCATTAAACTCGTTTGCAATACTTTACCTTGATACCATAGTCGAACAAACTCATTTGTGGACTTGAATGTCTGAATTGCATGATGAAGTCTTTCTTTGTATCTGTAGAAAGAAGATCATGTGATCAGTTAAGAGACAAATAATAATGTATTAGTAATACCTTGTGCAATATCTTATCATAATTTAAAAAAAAATGATATTGTCATAATTTAACAATTTTAGAATATCAAATATTAAAAAATCAACACAGTTTTTAGCCTCAATTATAAAGTGAGAAAACATAAGTTATATTGGAGGTAATTCAAGAAGGAAATGATGGCAGCTGTATCAATAATATACCACACATGGAGTAGCAAGGAACTGAAAAGTTTTCAAAGGAACTAATGTACGTACAACACAGATAAAAAAGGAAATCATAAAAAGATTAGATTTATTTAAATTGTCTAGGAAAGCTCATAGATGTCATAGTTTGATACAACAAATCTTATGTAATTAGTGACTATTACAGACATATTATTCACAATACTCTTCCTAGAAGATAGTTGTGATGTTAGGTGCTCTTGGGTGTATTGTTCTTTTGTTTGTTACGGTAATATTCACAGTTATTACTAAAAAGAAAAATATAAGTTATTTGACTCTTTTAAAGTCTAATATAAAATTATTTTGACGAATATGTGACAAACGTTCCAATGTAAGTAAAACTAAAGCCTATTTAAGTCGACAAATCTTAACTCGAATAGGAAAAAATAAAAAATTTAAAAAGCTCATGAAAAAGATAAGTAAAAGAGAATGCAAGATTAAAAAAAATTGGGATGCAAACATGAGATATTCTACTTTTTCTTTCTTCCTCTAAAACTTTATAGCCTATTTGGCCAAGCTTCCCAAGAGGCTACAAGTGCCTTTTTTTTTTTTCTCTTTCTCAAAAACACCTTTTTCCCTAACTTGAAGTGTTTGACAAAACTTTTTTGGGAAAAAGCATAAGCATTTTTTGAGAAGCAGAAAAAATAGTTTCTTCCGAAAAGCAGCAGAAGCAATTTTGACTTTTTTTCTTACAAAAAATACCCTTAACAAAATATACTATATACCAAACTAACCGTTAAACCTCATAATTAGGATATTAATGTATAAATATTTTTTATTATTTTTAGGATAACTTTCTAATATATAGTGACTTTAGGGATGAATACTTTTATATTTGTTGAATGATTTTTAATATATTTAACTTATATTAAAAGAATTAAGTACTTTTAATTTTTTTTCATATTTTACTTAAATAAAATGAAAAGATTTAATTATTGCCTTTAATAACAAAGTTTTAAGATTATTTATTTACTTATAATATTAACTAGTATTAAGTAAATTTATTCATGTCCTTATTCGTAATTTGATACTTAAAAATATTTTCTGAAAAGTTTGGCCAAACACAAATTATTGCTCAAAAATATTTTTCAGAGTGATTAGTCAAACACAAACTGATTCTCTCCAAAAGTATTTTTTCAAAAAGTACTTTTGAAAAAATCACTTCTCAAAATAAGTTAATTTCTCCGACTTGTCCAAACAGTTTATTAGACACAAGCTTGCTCTAAGATTGTTATATGTTGTGATGGGACGTTTGAGAAAGAGAGAGCAATTTATTTCCACCTTGTTCTTGTATCACTATTGCTTCTCCGATGGTTCTTTAAATCATAAATCCTGTAATTGGTTGATTTTAAAAATCTTTCTTTAATTGTCTATATCCCCACAAATTATTATATTTTCCCAATTCAACATTTACTGAAAACATAAATTGTTTAGTAATCACGACATGAGTTATGTAGATGATTTTATATTGGCGTAACTATGTTTCATTTCTTAACAAAAGCTTATTTCTTATTTCACTCATGATTGGAGCTGAAATCAATGCTTTGGGATTAATAAATTTATGGTTGTACTAAGATAAGAGGGAAACCCAAAAAAAAATATAAATAAAAAATAAAAGAAGAAAAATTAGAATTTTCTCAAATCGACACAACAACATAAAAAGTCCGAGAAATGAAATATATATATATATATNCACTTCTAATTATAGTAGAAAATAATATTTGATAACTGTTTAACCGCCGAAGACCAGTCCATTCCGAATATATATATATATATATAATAAAAAATAATTAAGTGGCTTAATAATTAGATTCTATTGTTGTTGTTATGTGTTGGCTTGCTTAGCAAGCAGTTAGACGCCATCACAATCTTTGATAGAATTTTGGGTCATGACAATAAACTTCTAAGAATAAGATACAACGTTGATATGAAGAAAATATGTCATTAGTTTAAATATATATAAACAGAAGCACAGTCTCTAGGCTACCATGAACAACTAGTAGCTTACAATTGAAAAGTTGTTCCCCCAAATAAATTATTGGCGAGGGTTTTATATATATATATATATATATATATATATATATATCGCATAGACACACATGTACATATATGTGTACCTGGTAAAATATGCTTTGACACGTGGCCACCCAAAAGAGGGACACGTGGAACCCAAGACGGGGTATGACTAAGACCGAATGCAGTTGTTCCGTTTGTCACCGAAAATAATAACGCTCATAAATATGTGATAAATACTCTTCGCTCGGTAGCATTTAATAGAGAATATTTCGTGGCATTAAGAACGATTACCCGTTACAGGGAATTTGGCATTTATGTTCGCCGTTACATCTTCATCAATGACTCTCATAATTGACATTAAAGAGGGGCACGATCCTAGGACCTCCTCCCTAGACGTAGCTATAAATAGTGAGCCCAGTTATCATTAGAAGGGACATGAATTTTCTGACAAACTTATGCTACATTTTATTCAAAGTTTAATACAATCTTATCTTCTTGCTTGTCGATTTCATTGATGTTGTGCCCGGAAACCCCGTTCCCGGAATTGTTCTTTCTGTTATTTCGTCTCCATCTCAAGGCTAAGTATTGCATAGTTCTTTAATTATTTTATTATTTCAGAATCAAATTAATTTACTTGTATAGAAATCACGTATAAATTCAACTGTACCATTTTACGGCTAAACAATTTGACACCCACCGTGGGGCTTAGACAACCATGCGATTAAATTGATCCTTGCCTTTTTTACTAACGTATTTTGATTATTTTGTCTTAGAAACAATCATAAGAAATGGAAGATAACGTTGTTAGCAACACGTACAATCCTGAGATTCAAGGGGATCAACCTCATTTCGAGGACTCAATCAGTGACACCCACAATGAGGGGAATGGCGCCACAATACCGGTACATGACATGCAATATCCTCGATATGTTCGGAGGACAACTATCGATGATACTGATGAGGAACATGTCGTTGACGCGGTAAGGGTCTTGCAAGAGCAACATGCGATCATTCTAGACCACCTCACGCGACAGGATAAGGTTATTACGGAGTTGAAGCAGGCGCTATCGGGGGCTTCGAATAATGTGAATAGACGAGATCTGATTCCTCCCGGTGCTCCCGCAAATCAAACAACGCAGAGGGTCGACAACAACACTCCTAGGGGCGAATTGGCTCCGATGGGGTTGGGGGGAGAGGATCCGGCCTAAATAATGAGAATGATCTTTTCAAAAATGAACTTTTACGGTTTATGAGGGAAGTGAACGCTCGCATGGACCAAATCTCTGGCGCGCCACCAGTGCTGAAAGGCCCAAACTCAAAGAAGTATACTCAATTGCCATACAAGCCAAGTGCGACACCAGAATTAATCCCGAAGCAGTTCAAAATGCCCGATGTGCCAAAGTATGACGAAACTTCAGACCCTCAGAAACACATTACCACCTACACAATGACGGTGAAGTGAAATAATTTATCTCCTCACGAAATTAAATCTGTTTTGCTGAAGAAATTTGGAGAAACTCTCACGAGGGGAGCCTTGACATGGTATTCATTGTTACCTGAGCATTCCATAGACTCCTTTTAGATGCTCGCGGACTCTTTGATTAAGGCTCATGCAGGGGCCAGAAAAGTAGAGGCCCAAAAGGCCGACATATTAAGGATTGTGCAAGGAGAGTCCGAGTTACTACGAGAATTCATTACCCGATTCCAGAAGGAGAGAATATTGCTCCCAACTGTCCCAGATGAATGGGAGGCTGAAGCATTTACCAAGGGATTGAATACGAGAAATGCTGACGCTTTTCGAAAACTGAAGAAAAGCCTGCTTGAGTTTCAAGCAATGACTTGGGCCAATGTCCACAACCGATACGAGTCAAAGATAAGGATCTAAGATGATCAGGTTGGTTTTCCATCATCGACCAAAGGACAGGAGAAGAACAAATAAAAATCAAACGACGATTACGACATGGACATATGGACTTCGAGGGGACGATTTTTGCCCTAC